TGCTAAAGCCCAAACAAATCCTCGCGCGAAATCCAAAATGCCACCCAAGAACAGGGGCGCAGAAATCAAAGCCGCTCAAGATGCTGCTCTTGCAAGTCTCCCGGACCGTGCACTCTACATAATCATGCACTTTCGAAAGCAGGACGATCCATCTAACTTCCATTGGGGTTATTACTATCATAGAAAGAACGCACTGGGCAGCAAGTATCACTTTCAAAATCCTGGACCGGGTGGACAAGGCTGGCTCCCTGGTCATGCAAGCACACACGGTGTCTTCAGATCATTCGCCCTCACCGCCGTGATACAGATTGCGCATGTGCCGGTCAGTAAAGAGGCACAGCTCGACGCAGTGATGCGATCGTATGACGAGTCCCACACGACAATACCAAACATGAGTTGTCGGATATGGTTACTGGCAGTGCTGAAGCGACTTGTCGAAGCAGGGTTGGTCCGGTGCAAGAGTATCGATGCTCTGGAGGAAGAATGTCGCACTATTGGAGCCCATCACTTCTCAAGCGCGCTGAAAAATGAGCAGCCACGACCGGTGGTAGTCTCTACCACCTGCGAGATTACCTGAAATCTTCACACTATCATCGAGTGCAAGGGATTACATGCAGGAGAGGTGAAAGGATGTATCTCTTAGTTGAAAGCGGAGTAAATTTGCAAGGCAGATCAAACGTAGCAATAGCATTCAACCGACATAAGAGTCGACTGTCAGACTCCGTAGTGCCTCCTCACATCTGTATTCTCTTTGATAGCGGTCGCCACCGAGATAACGTACAGCTTCGCCCCACCATGTTCGTCGATGCATCGTCAGGACCGTTGTGAATTCCCAATACGCCGGACACCATCCAGCGCATTCCCAGTCCAAGAAGCCGGTGAGGTGCCATTTCCCGTGGATTTCATCAAGCAAAAGGTTGTGCGCTTTGAAATCCCCGTGGGTGAAAACGATGTCGTGCGGGATATCCTCCATCTCCTGTGCCAAAGCAAGCTCGTCCTCGTAGTTTCCCTTTGACATGTAAGTCTCCTTCGAAGCTGGGCCGAGAAGAACTTTGTTGAGCTCAGCTTCGTTTTCCAAAGGACCCATCTTGTGAAATGGAACACGATGGCTCGCGATCGCGCTTCCCATCGCAGAGCAAATGCGCTGACCAAATGGGTTGCTCCAGGCGCGCATCGCGTCGACGCAGCGCTGAACTTCGCTGATCCATGGCTCCTCATCTTCCGGTATAAAAGGATCGCCGCAGTTCGCTAGATCAAAGCCAGGCAGGCGTGTCATGAGTATCGAGACTGGATACCAATGTGGTGGTGGTTGTTCCCCACAGCAAAGCACGTAAGGTACAGGCATACCAGCGGCGCGAGTCAAGCGCATTGTGAACGCCTCTTCGACTCGTACGTGCTCGTGCCATTTCAGCAGGAGGCCAAATGGTAGTGGACTGATGCCAGTGTCAGGGACAAGGCCGAACCAAGATTGATAGTGCTTCGAGAACCAGGCTAGGAATCGATGCACATAACTGTGAGCATTGCGAATCGTCAGCAAAGAATACTTGTTGTTTTGAGCGGCCATAATGAGAGAAAACGCATATATTGTGGTCATGAAAGTGTGCTGATGGCTGAACGGAACAGCACTTACCCCCAGAATCTTCGTACCCTCGGCCCTTCGACCCAGGCATCCCGCGGTACTGACGTCGCGATTACAAAGGCGGTAGGTCTAGGCCATGTGTAATCAGGCCGTAGAATGCTCGGCACCCACTTCATCCATGGCTTCTTCTTCATAGGTCGCTCTGATTACTCTGGCACTTCTGCTTAGTGTTGTGGCCAAAGGCAAAGCGCTGACTTTGATCCTTGAGAATTCAATGGCTTTTAGACTGAGCGCGTCGTATGATTCGTTCTTCGGTTCTTTCGTGCTAGTCGATGTGGAGATCATGAATGCTGTAGCTGAGCGAGTGTAGGGAGCATGACAACAATCGAAAGGCGTTTTTTATTTTAGGTTACGGACGCTAGTAAAAATGATCTTGCCTCTTCTGTACTAGACTATATTCTTAACACCACTTTATGTCCGGGTGTTTGGTGACGGTGAAGCGGGGCGATGAGTGTCTGAATAGCATCCATATCATGACGACAAGATGCCACAATACACCTATGCCGCACTTGACGCAAGCCGCGATGAAATACGTTTGGTGGAGATCCAATCGGGTACTAGAGGCACCCCAGTAAACTACAACATTTCTCAGCTTCCCCTTGACGAAGCCCAGGGAACATATATTGCTCTCTCCTACGTCTGGGGCTCGGAAGAAGATCCCAAGGATGTCTTTGCGAAAGATGAAAGCGATGGAAATGTCATATATCGGTCACTTCCAGTTACAAAAAACCTACACTGCGCAATTGATCACATTCGCAAGGTGCACGAGTCGACCCTTCTGTGGATTGATGCAATTTGTATTGACCAGAACGAACGTTGCGGAGAGAAACAGTCAAGTTCGTATTATGAGAGACATTTACGATGCAGCATGTTATGTTCTTGCGTGGCTGGGTCCAGCATATGATGACTCCGAAATGGCTATAAAGATCATCCAGAGGCTCACTGATTGGAGATCTAATCCATATCATACCGCCTCCAGATCGTCCGGATTATCCTGGGTATGTCATACAGATATTAAGCCTGAACATGCTATAACGGCAGTCGGAGCTTTCTTCCAGCGGTCTTGGTTTTACCGCGTGTGGGTTTGGCAAGAAGTGTTTGCTTCTAGAGGCGCTTGCACCTTGAGATGTGGTGGCCTTACTTTTCCGCTCAAATACTTCAATGAAGCGCTGCAAAGATCATTGAGATGGAACACTATGAGGGTAGTAGGGTAGAATATCTCGTTCAATACCATGGGGAACTCCTGCATGGCTCAAGAATTGCGACACGATTACATGACATGGCGTTCATGAGAATGGATCCCAATATGTGCCACTGTCTCCATATTCTTAATCAATCTACACAGGCACGTAATCCCCGAGACTTGGTATATGCAATGACAGGGCTCTGTAGTCAAATCAAGGAATCTGAAAACCCAATCGACTACAGTAAAAGCTTAGAGGAAGTGTTTTTAGACGCAATGAGACTAACCATCAAACTTGATAAGAATCTCTCTCTGTTACAAACCAAGGAAGCTCGCGAAGCTGACAATAGTTTCCCGAGCTGGTGCATTGATTGGCGCAAGCAGCCTGAGAAACGAGTCTTGTTTGAAGATCAGCTCTACGATGCCAGCAGTTCTTCGAAAGTTTTTCTACCTTCGTTAAAAAATAGATCACATAGTGAACAACTTCAAGACGTTGGAAATCTCTGTAAAACTTCTTTGACCTCGCTTGAACACGAAAATACATTAATACTGTCTGGAATTGAAATTGCCAGATTGAAACACGTACAGCCCGTCAAATATTCTATGTCAGACAGCAGAACGGACTTCATAAACAGACTACTCGCGAGTATATATGCTTGCTTGGGCAAGCACCTCGATCTCGAGACTTTTTGGTGATTTATTTATGCAGACGCAACCGCCGAAAGTCGACGCAAAAGATTTCAAATGTTGAACCACAGGCGCCTTCTTGGGAGAAAAAAGGGAGTCATATTCGGAGGAACATCAAGACGAAATTTTCTTGAAACCGGCCTTTTTGCGACTCCGAGCGCTTTTTATTTCGATTACAATGCAAATAGGAATAGCAGACGAGCGAGTTCAATCTGGCGATGTGATATGCGTCTTCGCTGGCGGCCGAACGCCATTTATCATCAGACCCAGCTGAATCTTGATCACTACAGAAACGTCTGCGCAGCGTGCGTCCTCGGCATCATGGATCGAGAAGCATAGGATGAGACGATAATCCAGACATTCACATTAATCCAATCACTGTCGGCGGGAACTTGATGCACTTAGGAGGGAAGGCATGTGATTTTAAGATTCATTCAATGATAGAGAAACGAAAATCACTCGTTCCCTTCTTCTTTTGACCCCGAGTATGAACGCCGCGAAACGTAATCTTACCATTTTGCAACCTCTTCCAACAATGTCTTCCTAAACACCGGGATCATGAAATCGTTTTGAATCACTATCGATCCAGACCACGAGGATTTGCAACAAACGTGGCACCATTGACCATCTCGAACTAGGCAGAAATGACAGCCAGACTCAACGCACGGCCGGACATATTTCATGATACATGACATTTCCTACAGCAAGATCGTCGTGATTGGGATATGCACCAATCGATTCGTTGAAATCCGCAAAAAACGAGCACTACTGATTTCGATACCGGCACCAAGTGCACCATCAACGACAGCCGATCGCAGAGCAGGAATAGTCACACTCCTTCCCGCATATCCAGTGCCATCGTGCACTTTTCACACAAAGAGATTGGCTCGTGGTATCATTGTCTGCACATGCTCCATAGCCACAGAAGAACTAGATCAAGGCCTGAGTTGTCGTCTGGAAATATCAGAATCGCCACCACATCACCTATGGATGAAAGTTAGTGAAGATACCACACAGGCTCAAGAGCCCAAAGCGCACCTTCTGTAGCACTATCAAATCACATGAAATTTACGATTCTTCTCCACTCCTCCTACCACCCCCATATCAAGCGGGCGGAGCCCTCAGTCGCAGCAGCCACCACGACGCCGTTCAGAGCCGGTCACGTGAATGAATAGATTACACGAATTCCACGGCCAAGGGTCGCACACGGGATGCAGTCACCATGTATATCTAACATCAATATTACGAGTTCTATTACTAATACTCGCATCAAGGAGTTGATTCTGCATGCCATGCAGGCACTCATCGACAAGCACCCGCACGCTCTAATCTTATGAGCAAGAAACTCAAGACGGGACCTCCAGAGACTGTGCTCCTCCACCAAGAACTCCCTCGCTAAACCGTGAACAGAGCAGCAGCACCTTGCCTCCAATCACAGCCCCCACGCAGACCCTCTATTGACCACTCTCCACATTCCCTCCCGAGCGAAGCTTACGCCCCCTTCCCCCTCCCCTTCCCCTTCCCCTTCCCCCCCCCTTCACCAACATCCTCCATCGCGCCCACTTTCACCGCCCTCAACTCCACAATCTCATCATACCGTTTCCCCAAACACTCCTTAAGCCCCGGCTGCGGAAGCTTCTGCAGCGCACTCACAGCCTGTGCCGCGCGCTCCTCCCACTGTGTATGCCGCTTCTCCCACCATTTCAGAGTTTTCGTAATAGAGCGAACCTCCCAGCCACCCCCACCCCCCTTCTCTTGCTCGAAGTTCTTGAAGTAGTCGTATCGGTATCGCAAGTGGCTGCTGATTTCGCCGGACGGCTTGGTGGGGATCTGAAAAGTTTGCTGCTCGGGGTCCTTCAAGAAGGCGTTCATTTCTGCGCACTCTTTGCACTGTTTCTTGGTGTCGCATTTGGTGGGGTCCATGATCTCTTCGGGTCGAGCCCAGTCCGTTGGCTTAGCGGGCTCTATTCCTACAAAGCGCTGGATGTAGGTGGCGGCGAGTATTTGGGCGGTCTTTTGCGCCTGTGGAGCAGACGAGTCTATGACGTTGATCATCTTGTGCAGAAATGGGGTGAGGAATTCTTTCACTTGCTCGTTGGTGAGCTTGGGGACTTGATCCTCGATTTTGTTGAGGAATCGTGACGGCAACTTCCCTTCATGGGCGGTCGCGCGCTGGTAGAGCTGTTGGGCTGGACCAGCGATTTCCATTTGAAGTGTTTTGAGACGGGAATCGCGAGCTTTCACTGATAAGGCATAGTAGCTGAGATTGAAGGTTGAAAAGGCTGGACTCAAGATTCGCTGGAGAAGGCTTTCGAGATAGATGTTGGACTGGGACGGTTGTGCTAGGCGATACAAGAGTTCTACTAGCAAAGCGTTCATGAAAGTTAGGTCCTTTGCAAAGTATGCCGCGAAGACTCTGGCGCCTTGATAGAGAACACTATGTTTAGAGTCAGCGATGTCTCAAATTTCTAATGAAAATGATTTGGCAACACGGAAGGGCGTTGTAGCCTCGAGGTTTAGCCACGGGTTGTTGCTGCCGTTTCCTTCATACTTCATACAACGTTCTCTGCAATCGAAGGGCGGACGTTCCGCCAGGGCTACCATAAAAGGGAAGGGCTCTTACAATTGACTGAAGGGCTCCTCCTCGCGCCCTACGATCATATCGACCAAAGTGGTAGCATCTTCATCGTGAACATCCTCAATCTTGTGCAAGCAACCAAACACTACTGTGTCCACCCATCTCCGTAGACGTGACTTTTCAAGCTCGTCTAAGGGGGCAGGATCTGTTCGGAGATACCCTAAACGAAATCTTTCGATATTTTTGCTGATCTGAGAGAGCTTGCCAGATTTTGTGAGACATTCAATGACGCTGTCTGGATCAGTGGCAGTAAGACGTTCGAATTGGGGAAGCTCACTCCTTTTCTGGCACAACCATGTCATCAAGCCAAAGAAGACCACCCAATTGATCATAGAGGCTTTCAGAGAAGCTGTCGGTAAGTTCGTTCACGACTTTGGTGAAAAGTGTTGGATCTTCAAGAGAGACGGCAGCGACAGCGATGGTACCAAGGTACTGATCGTTGGCTCCTTTGCCTTTGTATTTGCGGGATAATTGCCATTCACAAACTTGATGCAGCATTTTGCGCAGGTCTTGGTCATCGTTCTGTTTCAGCTTATACACAAGCGATTTTACAAGGTTGGCTAATGGTCCAGGACCATATTTGCTTGTCAGCAAGAATCTGGCAATGAAACGCGCTGGCACAATAATCATCACCTATGGGCAACGTTAGTCATACTGTTGCATAGTCTATGAGGACAGACTTACACTGTCTTTGAAATACTGCTCTATCTCCGCGTACTGGTTCCCGGTGTAATTTCCACCATGTTGGACGTCTGGGTCTCTGTCTTTATAAGCCGGCAAATCTAGAAAGAGCGAGTCTGGTATCCTGAAAGATCTATGGACTGAGAGATTATTTCCATTGACGTCCACGATGTGAGGAAGCAGATATTCAGACTGGGTCTCTTCGCAGTCTTCTCCGTTCATGTCCGTGACATGCATCTCCAGGTTAGCGAGTAGGGTGAAGAAGTCGCCATGCAAAGCGCAGCTTTGTGTCATATGGCGGGCACGGTGATAGTCGGCACCTTTGAGTCCAGCCAAAGTCAGTCCTCTGTTTGTGTAGTTGTGTTCTAGGGCATAAACAAGGGCTTGAGGGGCATCGTCTAAGCTTGACCACTGCCTCAAGACCGACTCCGTTTGCTGAATCTGCGCATCGAGCATGGAAGCGGATTGATCGATCTGGTGGTTAATTTTGATAAGATTGTATGTCAAGACCCAGCGACGACCTCCTTGAACTGGCTCGATCTTCCAGAGTACCTGTCAGTTACATCTGAACGCTAAATTTGTGTGAGCCGGCATACCTCATGAGTTACATCATTGTACCTGTGCATGAACTCAGCGATGAATCAGAGACATACAAATAAGAGACATACCAAGCAATGAAGGTGGCGTCAAACGCTGAACGCTCGCTTGTGGCAAACTGAAGCGATTTCTGCCCATGACGCAGTCGAACAGCCCCGCCCGTGTGCTGCGACGGAAGACAGATGACGAGAGTTGCAAACATTCCAGGGATTTTCTCAGTGCTTTTGACAGTCAGCTAAAGATCTTGATGCATTAAAAGTCACTCACTCTTTATGCTCCTTGAACATTGCGCCTTCCTCATAGAGCAGCATCTTGTACAAATCTGCACGGACATTGGTCAATGCACAAGCGACGCCGAGTTCGCCCAATACGTGCTCAACGATGCGGTTCAGACATTCCTGCCAGCCATCGTTGAGAAGTTGTATTTTGTCAGCATCTATCTGCCATGTTTTCCTGATTGACTCATCCACCAGCGTCTTGTTACCTTTACCGAACGGGGCCTTGTTGCTCGCCCTGACAATAGCCTTTGCATCTTCTTCTGAAAGCGGGAGCCTGATGAGGCCAAGTGGATCGATAGAAATACCAGGGTTAGCAAAGCGTTCTACAACACCGAAGGTCGCGAATGACCCTGTCGAATGAACGTTATTGATGCAATAGCGCAAGTTGTCTTTCACGATGTCTCGCGGCGTACGTTCATCATCGCTTTTCTCATCGGATGACGAATCATAGAAGTGGGCCATCCTTGGGGAGCAGGTTCTCCAGCTAGCAATTCGTGGGACACAGCAATTGACGCCGTCTTATTGCGCAGCGCAAGTTTCTCACTCGAGCCACTTGACTCTGGGTATAAAGATACGGTAAGGTCTTACTATCCGTACAGATACTTTTCATCATCAGAACATGATCACCAGCTTGCTGATTTCGACTAAGATGATTGCGTTGTGCTACTCGAGTGTTGACAAAACAAAGATCTTATCGATAAGATCTCTTTTATTGGTGACGGATGACGTCACTGTCACGTCGCGTACAAAATGTGACGCGACCGAAAATCATCCAGCATCCATTCTCGCACTCTTTCAGCTGAGAACCTGCTCTAAAGATCTGACGAACCAATGGAGTAGGTTTCAGAGGAGACTCTCGTGTCTAGGTGTAATGCGGTGAATTAAGTGGCAGAACGATTATCTCTAGGTTGCGACTACGAAAAGCTTTGAGGAAGCCGCGCTTTCTCTATGTCAAGGCTCTTTCTACCCAACGTATCACCTAGGAGATGGGAAGCTCCTCGACTCAATTGCGTTAGTAGCAAGCCTTCCTAGCCTCGAGGGCAGACAAGTGAAGAAGTCTGAGTCTCCTTGCGCGATGATGTTTATTCGAGACGCATTTTCCTCTGAGTCTCATTGCCTTGTATTGATTTGAGATGTCTTTTCTCCTCTCTCACTTTCTCCTATGTCTCTTGATGGCGGATTTCGTCAGCTCGTAAAGCCAGTCTTAGATATTCAAGCCTATGGTGTCGAGTGAACATCGCACAATCAGACGCGAAACCTCAAATCTCAGTACAACCTACCTCAATACTGTTTCGTCAATGCTTTCCGGGGGCTCAATCATTGAGTCAAATACGCTTTGTTCTCCTGGACCCCGGGTACGCAGGGGCTTATTGTTCATCAAAGGCATTGTTATCCGATACTCTCAGGGCCCACTACAATGCACTCCCTTTAAATTCAATTCACTGGCCTTGCTGAACTTCTCCCACCCTGATCTTCAACTAAATGTCTCTTGCCTCAATTCATTGCCATAACATGTCATCACCGGCGGAAGCGCACTGCGCTCGAATGAAAATGTAAGTCAGACCATCAGTCAAGGTCAATCCAGATACTGATCTTCGCAGATGGTATGCCTCCAGCAAGACGTCAGGCGACTTCGTGATATGCTGTCAAGACATGCGCTTTCCAGTACACAAAGCGGTGCTCTCCTCGCAATCTGATTACTTCAACAGCATGTTTCAGCGTGATTGGAAGGTAAGTCCGTCGACAGTTCTGGAGATCTTACCTACTGACCGCTGACACCACGATAGGAGAACGCTCAAGGCGAGGTCGAGCTTAAAGAGGACGTTTCATTCGTAGTTGAAGCCATGATACAATTTATGTACTATGCGGACTACGAGCGGCCAGCCATTGAGTCGTACGATTATGAATTTGAGTTCCTGTTCGACGCCCAAGTTTATGTCATAGCTGAGAAATATGGCTTGCCGGATCTGAAACAACGTGCCCAAGAAAAGTTTTCATCTCAACAGACCTACGAACCGGGCGAGACTAGGTTCACCTCCAAGATCGCCTATTTCTCGGAGGCGGTCGAAGTTATTTTATAATAATACTCCTCCTTCAGATCCAGCAGTACGGGACTTACGGAACATGATGACGGAACTTGCAGTTCGACACATCAGCGACTTCCTCAAGTGCCCCGACTTCAACCGCGTGCTCGGCGAAATACCAGAATTCGGAGCTTCCCTGGTCAAAGATCTGGCACGCCAAGTGGAAACCCTGACAAATACAAAGATGTACCAATGCTCTTCTTGTGATGGAAATTCACAGGCCATTCTTGACAATAGACCTTACTATCCGTCGTCATAAGCTGTGCGGAAATATAATGGACTATTAGTCGGGTGCGAATGTTGCTGAGGGGTCGACTTGACGGCATTTGAGCATAGTCGGAACCCGGATGGCAATGAATTGTTGGAGAATACGGACAGCACTGATAGTGGATATTCGGAAAGTATTTGTCAAAGAAGAATGTTATCCTAGAAAGTTCCGAGATTATATCAGCGCTTGTTCCTAGACGGCCAAATCATCCGGTCGACATAATTTATGTCCCAAACGTAAGATCTCATCAATTAGTCTGCCATTTCAAATGTTCAATCGTCTACAATACATAACCAAAGGTTCGAATCTTATCCTTTTCCTAGCTCGACGACTTCAATAGATGCAGCACGTCAGCTTCAAGTCAATGCTAGCCTTAGCGGAATTGGCTTGCTATCCTTCCACTTTCTGAATTACAGGGTCATATCCACAACACTAAGACTCTTACACGGTTTTTATTAATAAGTGAGAGCTGGAGAGAGACATTGCTCTGGAAATGCTGCACAAATCGAGTCACCTGTCCTCCCTGGTTGCACTAGGGAAGTAAATTAACTCGCTCTCCTTGACAATGGAGGCAATGTAGAGCATGCTGACGTCGGATTGGCAAATAAAGCCTTACTTTAAGCTTCAATCGAAGTCCTGTCAGCGGAAATATCTCATGACTAAGGCTTTGCCGAGGGGCGATTCCATTCATGCGTCGAGCTGACTAAAGCCGCCCTGCGTTGTGGTTGGGGATATATAGCGGCCTCAAATACATCTCTTGACCTCTGAGCCAAGAATTTTCGAAGTATCTCGCCAGTTACATCTGCCGTACCCGTTGAATTAAAACTACAACAATTCTTCAAGTCTAATCATCATGTCACAGAAGCCATCAAAGCCGGCCACTGGGGCAGGCCTCATAGCACAAGTAGGGACAACAATAGCGCACGGAGTCATCTCATCCACCGTTGCAGCGGCCAAGCCCAGCTCCTCCAAGCCCATTCCTCCGATAAAACCCGCACCGTCTGGCCTTCCCCCTCCTCCGCCCCCTGGACAAGCCGGGTCCTCCAGCGCAGCAGCACCAGCGCAAAAACCAAGCCCGTCTAAAGCTCCTACTCCCCTACCACAAGCTAGCTCTTCCCAACCAGCCCCCGCACAGAAGCCAACGCAAGCTAATCCTCCTCCCCCAACTAACCCCGCGTCTACTACCAAAAACAGCACGAGCTCTTCCCAGCCAGCCCCCGCCCAAAAGCCAACACAAGCCACTCAACCTCCTCCCGCATCAAAGCCCACATCTACCACCAAACCCAGCAAGGTCAAGGCAGTCGTCAAAACCGACTGCGTCATAACCAGCATCTGGCGCGTCCGCAACGTCGTTTCCGGCACTCCATCCCCGCGCACCACCATAATTTCGCAGCTCGCCGAGAACCCCGTGGTAGCGATGGGACTGCACTGGAACCTCAGCAACACACAAGCCGTAGGGGAATCTTTGGCCAAAGGCGTAAACCCCGAAGAAATCGAGACGCTGGTCAAAGTGTGGGATCGGCAGCACTACGCAGATTTCGTTGGCGACGACGATGCGGTGGTGGATGTGAAGACGTTGACGACGAAGGCGAAAGTGCCCACTGGTGTGGTGTTCGGGCTGGGGTACGCGGCGACGCCGAATCATTGTGTTACGGGCAAGATAGAGAGCGGGGCGTTGCGCTTGACGGACTTTCAGGCGGATCCGAAGGGCAAGGACGTTACGGCTGCTGTGATGGGTAAGCCGTTGATTTGCGTGTTCTGGTGGGATAGGGGGAGTGCGGTGAAGAAGGTGCAGGATCCGATGGCTGCGCATGGGTATCAGTTTTGAGAGTTTTGTGAGATGTGGAGGAGATTCGTACATAGATTGAGGGATTATAGTGATTTAATTTAACGGATTGGGACGTACTAGCTTCCTCGCTTGCGTCTCTAATGGGATTGAAAAATACAGATGTCCCCAGCAGCACCACAGATAATTTTATTACTTCTGTCTGCTTAATTCCTCCGAATCAGCAAATTTGAGGCGCAGGGAGCGTCTCCAATCAATTTTCCTGACCTAAACTGCATGGGTCCTGCGATCACGCCTCCGAAGCAATGCAGACAGCTCGCAGTCCTCTTGCCAGTGTTCGAGAAGCAGGATCAGAAACTCGGCTCAAGGACGGGTATGAGTAAACAGAACTGGCAAGATTTTCGATGCATTCGTAACACTTTTACACCTCGATGTCACCCCGACAACTGAGTCTACCATCTTCTCAACTCACCTAAACTTTCCGCCTACACCCCCAACAATCACTAACGCTGACCCAACCTCCCACACCTAATCCACCCCGCTCAAGCCAGACCAGACCACTAGCATCCCCTCCCCCCCCCTCCGATCATCTAACACTGCAATCCACCCAACTCCCCTCACTTCGGATTACAAGTCCTCCCTCCAGCAGGATTACCAGGCTGGTTATTAAAGCAGACCTGGCCCGTCTTGCCGCAATCGGCGACTAGTTGCCAGGACCCGTCTTTACACAACAACTACGTCACACACACACACGATACATCAGCCTTGCCTTCCCAATCCTTCCCTGTCCGTGGCAATTCTCACAACTCTCCTGGACGGAGGCAGGGGGGGAGGGGAGGGGGAGGGGACTCACAATAGCGCCCAAATTGCACGAGCAAGTCTCCGGCCCGGCACGGTATGTGGTGTCGCAGGAGCCACCGCATGGCTGGCCCAGTTTGCGCGCGAGAGGGTATTGGTTGTTGCAGTCGGCGGGACAGGCGCGTTTTTTGAGCGGGGAAGCGAGGGCGGGGGTGCCTTCGATGATAGGGGTGGCGGTCGACACTGTGAGGACGGTTGATAGGGCGAGGAGGTTGAGGAGGGAGAGTTGCATTTTAGCTGGGTATGGATGGGAAGAGTGAGCCTGCTGGGTGCTATTGAGATGGTGAAGGGGATAGAGGGAGCTGTGGTTTGCTGGTGCGAATTTGGGGGGTCGGGGTTTTGGGTGCTGGTGTTTTGTGGGGCGATATGGGAGTTGAGAGAGTTTATATGTTGGTCGAGAACAATATGGGTGGGATGCTGATTTGTCATGACGCCGCTTCTTGACTCGGAGTTATCACGCTGCGAGCATTGTGGGCAGACCCAAACTCACTACGGTCGGATCTTAGGGTGGACTGAGACTATTGATCTCGTACGTGGTCGATCTGCAGCCACGTTCCTTCAAACTTAACGAGATGAGCAGAATCATAGTTAAATTGAGGTCTTCTTGCGAAGTTTGGTGCTTTGTCTGGGCCCGGTGAATAGGTGCAACCAGCTGAGAGAGATCACAATCTTGGTCTGCTTATGAATCATGCACTTGATCCTTGAGCTTGCAGAGTCGCTAGGCTTGCGAGAGAAAGACCAAGTCTTTGATATACTACCTGCAGGGCGATGTAAATGCATCTGGTGGACAAAATAATCAGGCTACAACGACTGAAGAGACCGAGCTCAGGCGAAGTAAGTCAGTTGCAGGGCATATTCAGCTGACATGGATGCCTTGATCTGCCTTTCTCACGGTAAAGTATGGCGTTGTGGCTTGCATCTTGCATCGTCGAGCGCTAAAGAACAAAAAATATCAGCTGAAATCCTACTCCGAGCCAGCAAAGATGACCCAAGGTACGAGATGAGCAATGGCTTGGCGCATATATGCAGGGCGGCGCTCGACCCAGACCCATTCATGCACGTGGTTCAGCTCCGCAATGGCCGATGGCTTTGTGCCTCGCACGACACGAAAAGGGTATGAGCAATGCTCTCAGATCTTCTGTCAGCCAGCCGGTGGGAATCTCAAGGCTAGAGTCGAAAATGTGCATGCGGTAGATGAAAAAGACCCCTAGAAGCAATGATTATTCTAACTCCGGATCCCCTCCTTCCACGTTTCTTGATTCTCAGTTTCTTGCAGTATCTAATCACGTTAACTGCTAATAGATTGATTGCAGACGGAAATTGCCAGGTAAGCTTCGCAAACCTGGCTCCTTACGAAAACCACGGCTCGCTTCGCGACCACCCTTGACTTAGATGCTGAGCGTGCAGTAGCGTCTTCAGGTAAGTGCACCCTGCAGTCCAAGGCCTAGATCTCGAGCCTGAGTCAGTCACTTACCGGATGTATTGACAATTCCACCGATCACCCGATGTGGCTCGCCCTGCATGAGAAATGCTCCAGCGTTCTTCAGAATCCATGATGTAGGCCCTAGTGCCTCCCCACATGTGCCAATATTCTCGGCGTTTGAATCATCGCACATCAGCTGAAACGACTTAGGTGTGGACAGGGCCCCCGATCGCCTTAAGACAAAGATGACGGCGCAATCGATGCAGCCCAGCATGTGCTTTCGCTTAAGGCAAAAAACAAAACTTGCGACGGCATAGGCATCTTTATTTTATCAATCGTGGTTTTTCGGTCTCGCTTTAAGGGGAAGCTCTTAACGCAAAGCCGTCTCAAGGGTTGAATTGCGACGCTACAGGTTGTTGAAAATGCACTACACCGATGGGACTTCGGTTTTATTCCTAGAGACACCGCTGACTCTGTGCATCACATTGCCGGAGATTTTCCATGTTCTTCCCGTGACCAATAAATGCTAATCAATAGGTAATAGCATCCATCAATCCAACAATTTGTGCCTGTGTTCACAGTTCAGGTGGCCGCGAAAGGCTCTGCACAAGATCAAAACTGCGCCCAAGTGTCATTCTTTGGTACTCACTTGAAGCATTTCTGGTTACACCACATCACAGACGTCTAGACTTTCTCCATAGTCTTCAGTCCAAGTGCAGGATTACAGGGTAAGGCGTTTTGGTGGTCGCCCAAAATCGGCTTCTGCAGTGACAAAACCCTGCATTAGTGACTCTGAATCGTCACCTTCGTTCTTCGTTTGGCTGATCGCTGGTTCACATCCTAAGATTCAAGTCTGTAGCACAGTTGTGTTCGCGCGCAGTGGAAGCTTGGCTTTTAGTGAAAGGGTGTGATTGGCATATTATTGAATATACGATAAAAGTGGAGGCAGCCTCTGTAACATAGTTTGGCGCGGGTGGAGATGCTATCTTGCTGCCATGCTCTTGCGTGGTGCATATTTGCGCTCTTCTCACGCTTTGATTCAGCAATCCAAGGATCCTGAAGTAGCACTTTGGCGGAGGGTCTGTCTTTTAGATCTAGCTTCATGAGCTTGCAAATAGACTCTCTGTCATCCCTCGAGAGGTAATTCTTCCACTAATTCCATGATCATGAAAAGTATCTCGATTCGTTCGCTATCCAAAAGACTCTGATAGCTCAAGGGAAATGGTCCGAAGAATTTGTGTTGATTTCGCATCACCTCTGCTGCATATGTCGGCTCTGTCGCCTTGACATTTCGCGGCTTGAAAATATGGAAATGCTCCCCCCAGATAAAACTGATAAGCTACTTGTCTTTAGCAGAACAATGTATCATTGTCAAAGGGAACCATACCGTAGCTCCTAATGATCAGATGGCAGTAGGAGTCCCCCAGTCCAGATGATGTGGTCTTCAACGACGTCATCGATGTGTGTGCTATCGCCGCAGTCTGCCAACTTAATGTCGCTGAAACGATGATTGTGATCGCCACGATTGACGAGTATATTGTCAGGTTTGATATCTGGGATAGTTCGTCTCAGAACTGACGAACTCTGCAACATCAGCATGCCACTTACCGGTGTGAACAATCCCCTCTTCATGCAGTGCAGCTAAAGCTTGGAGAACAGTTTTTGCAACGATTTTGACATCTGATGGCTGAAGCTTCTTCTCTCCAGACTCAGTGAGCAGATTTGTCTCGAGATACTCCAGCACCAGCATCGGAGGCTCTGCGACTTCGTCGATCAAGCGACGGAGAGATGGCACGTGACCAAAACGCCTGAGTGTCCTGCGCTCCTTGTTGAGGAGATGGTCTTCTGCGCTTTTGACAACGACGTTCTGCTGAGTAAGGCAACTTCTGCAAGAGGCAATGAGCAACGCAGAGCGTAATGAAGGTGGAGCATCTCACTGAGCCCGCCACATGTTTTCTTTTAATTCCTCACGAATGACATACTGACCATAGGCCCCTTCAACACTACTACCCATCTGCATCGATACACTTGAATAGGCCCTTCTCCATATTCTCATTGCTGGAGTCCTACTTAGAGATGATAAAAGATGCACAAAGTTGCTGAGGTGATGGAGGACAATACTGGAGTCTCGTGCGACGGAACCGATCCGTGCCAAGCCCGCTCGGATATCAGTATACCCGGAGACCGTGCCCCCCAACGCCCGAGGTAGAGCTCCTGGGCCGTTTCTACAAAGCAGCTGACCAGCCGGTGTCGCTCGATGGAATTGTGATAGAATGAGGTATTTGGCGGAGTGATGCTACTGAGATATGAAAAAGTGGTGAGCACAAGACATGACTAGCGCATGCGGACTCCTGATTTGTTGCCTTAACAAAGTCCACAGTTGGGGATATTTGGGTGGGAAGACTAGTGCTCTCATCGAGGTTGTGGAATCGGTCAATTATGCATTGATGGACATAAAGCACCACCATTTCTCCCAGTATTTGACCTCTTGCCGAGTAGCAAGAGTCTCTTAATCGATCGACGTGCTAAGATAGGATTGGGCATCTGATTAGATGCCCAAGATAGAAGGGCTATTCATGAGCAGCGGCACTTTGAGAGCGCTCGCCTCTCCTTGACCTCGCAGCAGGGGTGCCTTGCGCGATCTTTGAAGTTAGTCGCTAGTTGCTGGCTGAAGGACGTTCGAAAGTACTCTTTGATGCCACTAATGCTGGCATGATCCGATCGAGCAGAACATGGTACGGTTCCTTCTCTGGCCTGGAGCAGCGTAGATTTGACTGTTATAAGCGTCACCTGACCGGACGGAGCGTTGGGATCATTCTTCTTTGCCCTGAGTGAATAACGCGATCTAAAGCATGCGCATATATTCCCGGGTAGGACTTCTTGTCTCTTCTCCAAGCCACGTCTTGGGCGGTACAGGCGGTCTCTCAATATCACTGTCGAGTCCACCTAGATGAGGAGACTTGGCTGAAACTTTCCTTCCCCTGCTTTGCGACTGATGTGCTACCCAGGTTCCAGATTTCTTGCGCTGGTATTCATCGTAGTCGTCGCTACCGTAGGGTGGAATCGATGCTAGGTGGCGGTACAGTCGAGGTAAGACGAACAAGCAGGAGCAAATGATTCCGAATCCAAGTTCTGCATGTGACCACATCACTGATTGTTCCTTGACATAGGAGTAGTCTACAGCATGGAAGAGCATGATGATGTAGAAGAGCCGGAAGATGCTGGCGGCTATGGCACTTTACGGTAGGTCAGTCAAGTGGGCACGTTCCAAGCAGCAGGAGATCAACACCTACATGGCTCCACAGAAGAAGATACCCGATATCCCCAACTTGCGCGATCGCGAAATATTCAAGTGCCAGATTCGCCACATTGGCACAAAGAGCATTGCCATGTCCGAGAGCGCATTGAAAGTCGCAGAGCTTGTATAGAGAACGTAGATGTTCATACATTTCCCAGGCAGCTCCATGTGCCATATTTTCCGTCGCGGACTACATGACACTATCGGTATGATCAGGTAGATGGTGTAGTAAACTATGTTGACGGCGTTTAGGGTTTGTAGCGTCCAGTAACATGGATCGCGGGCCTGGGGGCAGAAGACACGTTGTACGAGAAGAATGATGGAGAGTTTAGTGAACAATGCTGATGGGCTGTAAATGATGTCTTCGTAGTTGGTGTACTATTCATCGTTGGTATCAGCATCTAGGTTTGGACCATCAATCAACGTACTCTTAGTTGCTCAGAGAGGTCTTGAGATGTGATGTTCCATTGGTGAGTGCCCCCTCCTGCGTTCACGACCTTGACTATAATGGCTGCCCATACACAATAGAACAGCTGTTTTTGTCAGAACACTTCCTTTGGTGGATTTCATGACTGCGCACGAAACCAAGGATGCACATGTCTCACGATCGTGTTAGCAATGTAACTGAAGATGGAAATTCCATACTTACAATCTTCCCATCTGAAACTTTTGATGATACAGGCTTTTGTGTACAGTCTCGCGGCCAGAAATGTGCCTGAAAAGATCATTCCCAGGGAGACCGCGACATTGCTATACGGCCTCAGGCTGAAGGGGTCTTGAAAGTCGGGCACGATTCCAGGCGGCGGGGGTAGAGCAGCATCGGTGGGAGCAACAACTACGTAGGTTTGTGCCGCCATTTCGAGATGAGACCTACCACAGACGGACAGGATCTAAAGCCTCATTCACGAGAATTCAAAGTTGATTGGAAAGTGGAAAATGTTTCAAAAGAGGCGGCACGATAGTTGAAATACCTACCACGTATGCAAAGATGACGAAGGGGGAAGGGTTGTCCGGGGGCAACGGGCCGTATGCATGGTGATCCCACAACCATGACGGGCATAAAGGATCAAGCCCTGTTCCCACATCGACCTTTCTGCCCTACCATCTCATACTCAGCGTCGATGCTGAAGATGCTAGTGACTGTTGGACACCACTCGACAGGCGGTCATACCCTTATTGAGCAAGCCTTCCTGCACGGTGATGCAAACTTAGGCCAAGACACGGGAACACTTCGTCTGTGCGACGAATCATGATAGATGATCGGCAGCATAACACGATCATCCAATTATCTCTCCGACCACTGGTTGATTCACTGAGTTCCCGAGGACCGAGTCATTAAGTGTGGTTCCGGTATATCATATAGCGAAGTTGCCGGTGTTTCAGGACCCTCTGATCATTCGATAGGTCATCCCTTAATGGTGGACTCGAAGCACCTGGTAAGAAATGTCAATCCTCATGCCAGTCGTAGTAGCGATTTCGCTGATATTCCTCTTCGGACTACGTCCAATACTTACCATCGTCATTCGCACATCTTACGGTTATGAGGGTACTAATCCAAAGCCTCTTCCCTGGCTTGGCTCGTGCTACTAAACTTGCCTGTTTCAAAGTCTGCAGATAGCTAACACGCCTCTCTCCAATGCAAATTTTTACTTGAAAGTATTTACTTATCTTCTTTCAGTCCCTTGCAGCTGCGAACGAGTTTCATTTCATCTTGAAAGTGAGAAGATAGAGCAGACTAGATTTTGCTAGAACCAGAAACATGGGATTCTAGTAGCACCAAGGGGCCTGGTGATCTCGCAAGCATCTTGCAGCCCCTCCTCCTTCCTCTCATAGAATCCCATCATACCTATATCTCTAGAACTGCGATAGCGCGCAATCAACTAACGAAACAGAAACTCTCCATCACGCGCAAAATCACCCGAGGCGCCTACCAGGCTCCTCAATGCCTCTCCCTCCAACGCTTCGGATATTGGGTCCATGACAAAAGCAGCCACAGACCTACAAGCTCAAAAGAGAAGCATAAGACTGTCGTGGTGATGGGCATCCCCACTAGTCCTACGTCTGAATCCGTCCATCAATCTTTCGTGCCACTATTCCGACTGTAATAACGACGTCCGAACAGAAATCCTCATCGCCAACTCGACGGGCGCTGCAGGACATTTCCCTTCTACCTCCTCCCCTAATCAAGCATCCTCTCACCTCACCGCCTCTTATCCCTAGAGATGGTACCCAAACCCCCCCCCAGGGACCCACAATCACCCTCATACCCTACGCCTGTAGCAAGAAGCACAGACAGTGATGGACCAGCACCGCGAGACCCTGGCAATGGCAACGAGGGACGCAGCTAGGACTAGGCTGCAGAAGAGTTTGCGCGCTGTGGAAG